CTACAAGCGTGCCCATCCCCCGGACAGTGCACTCCGCACCCGTTAGTTAGGCATTTACCCATCCCCTCCACCCCCCTCCCACCTGCCTGGCACCCGATGAACATTACTTCCATGTGTGCACCTAAGTGTTGATCAGTTAGTATCAATTTGATGGTGAGTACGTGTGGTGCTTGTTTTTCCAAGGAATTTTTTTTAAAGGCGGGATGATGGGAAAGTTTCTGGGGCATATCATCGAACTGAAAGACTAGCCCCAAGCCTGGAGTGGGGACAGGAACTGAGGCAGTTCCAGGGACTTCAGGGCAGAAGTTCATAGATCTCTCCCCCTGGGACGCCGCCAGAAACTCGCTTCTCCTCTAGCAGCAACCAGTCTGTGTATCTCAGGTCCAAATTTCAAATCTCTCTGAGAGGCTGGTTGGCCAGCTGGGTCAGGTGGCCACTCTGGGTAGATTGGCCTGGGCAGGAGCTTGTGTGTTAGCAACTGGGCCTCTGGGGGCAGCGATGGATCCAATTACTAGAATCCAATTCACTGAATGGACAGTGTTCAAAATGATCACTTCACCACATTTATCTGCTTCTCTTAATTATCTAGCCTCAATCGCCTGATTTTTGTTTTGTCTTCACAACAGCATTTTGAGACAATGTTGAACGAAAGGGAGCTGAGTCAGTTGCTGAGTTGGAGATCGAGGGAGAGATTGAATCTATATGTCTGGCCTTGGTGCTATGTAAACCCTCTAGCCCCCAAACCTGACAAAATTCTCAAGGAATGGGGAGAAGTCCCTGAAAAACTGAGATTAAGCTTCTTTTACCCTAGCAGAAAAAAGACAGGAAGTTAGGAATGAAGTTGGCAATTAAGGAAGATTTATTTATTGCATGCTTGAGTTTTGGACCAAGAGTTTACCCCCCACCTTGTCTAATGCCCTGCGAAGCTTAGCATGGGAGGTAGAGATTTGTGCCTGTTCGTTTTCGATCAGGCACTCTCTGTACCCATGCCACCCCGGGGAAGACCGAATCTGAGCAGGATCTAACAAACCCTCGGCAACAGGGACAAAAATGATTAATGTGAATATTCCCACCCTGACCTGCTAAGAAAAAGTTATGTTATAAAAGAAAAGAATAATGGAAGAAAAAATACGTCCAGAAAAAGGGATAAGGAAAAGTTAAGAGTTCCTGAGGGCTCTTAATGGGTCAAGACCCAGAGGCCAGAGATGGTCTGGCAGGTTGGAACCTGGCTAACTATTCAGAATGGCTGGTGTGTTGGCAAGAGGTGAGGAGTTAAAAGCACAGCAAGGAGAAGGACGTGAGAGAAGTTTTTCTGTGTGTTAAGAACGTATCTCTGCCTACCTCCCTTCACTTTGGCATTTCTTCCCGAGACTGAAAAAATATTCAAAATACATTTTCTTTATTTCAATCATTGGCCTGTTTCTCCGGATGTGGCTGTGCTAGTTTCAGAGCACAAAGCTACCCCCATCTTCGTAGGTTCGTTCCTTCCTTCCGTAAGCTTGGGCTTCTCCTGAGGCCTGGTCCTCATGGGGAGCTTAGGAGCTGGATTGGCCTTTCTTTGATGTAATCATTTTAACCCCTGAGCTCCTGGAGGGCAGCAAAGGTAGGCTGGGATCCTTGATGTACTCTTGGACCCGGTCGTTGCTGGGGTCGCTGCAGACCTCTCGGTTCTTTTTGGTGACGAAGCTGCAGAGGCAGGATTAGACTGTCATGGGCTGCAGACTGGGATGGGGCTCTAGTACACCCCCCCACCAGCTCACATGGGGCTTGTCTTACATTCTCTACAGCTTCTCTGGGCCTCCTCTGGCGGGGTGCCCTCAGAAGACCTCTCCTTCTGGCCTCAAGACCTCATCATCCCTTCTCTCAATCCCTTCACCACTCAGCCCAGACCCTCTGGCTTGGGTTACTTAACGGCCACCATCTATTGGACCACACAGCTGTAAGTGGCAAAAATCAAGAATTAAACCCAGGTCCCTGAGATCCAAAGCCCAAACCCTTAGCCATGATTCCCTGCTTCAAACATGGACATCTCTTGGTCCTGTGATCCCATTCCTGCCCCGGGGTCCTTGTCCCTCTCCACAGCAGTAGCTGTAGGGAAGTGCTTACATAATTGCTGGCAGGTGACAGTTGAGGGCCTTTCGGTATCCTACCACCAGTTTCCTTGGCAATACTTTCTCATGATACTTCAGGCAGCAGGTGGTTGGTTGGTTCACCGCCTCAGGAATTTCTGCAGGAATCACATTGCAGGCTGAGCCAGGAAGGCACAGAGGGGAGACCGTAGCTGCCCACCTGCATCTCCCATCAGTTGCATTTCACTGCTCTGGCAGCAAAGCCATCTGTTAGCAGGGACTGATGATGGCTTGATGGGTAACAGAGAAAGCGAAAAAGATAAACCCCTCTGGGGGATACACATGTAGAACCTTCAGCCTCTGAACTGAGTGTCACCAGGACAAATGACTTGGTTATTTACATTTGCTGATAAACCAGGAGGGAGCTGCTTCTCTTTTTGTTTGCTCATGACTTGATCTGGGAAACATGTCTTGAGCTCGTGTTACATGCCAGACTCTAGGGGAATGAAAACATGAAGACAACACAGCCACTAGCCTTGAGTAGCTTACCGACTAGTCAGGGTAGAAAGGGAAAGTGAAAGATTGAACAAATGCTACACTAGAACGTGGTCCGGGACAGAATAGACTTTGGCACAAGGTGCTGCTGGAACAGAATGAGGGCACCTAACCCGTCCTTGGTGGCTGAGGAAGAAGTCCCAGAGCAAGGGGTGTCTGAGTTGATTCTTAAAGAATGCGCAGGATTTAGACAAAGGAGGAGTAGGATCTGGAAGAAAGAAATGTAGGAAGGCCTGAAGGTGGCGAAGCTCAGTGTGTTTAGGGAGTGCCGAGCAGTTGGGGGTGGCTGGAATGCAAGGCGAGGGGGGAGTGGGGAGAGATGAACTGGAGAGAGGGGAGGGCCTGGGCGCACAGCGACTGAGCCGTGGTGGAATTCGGACCATCCTAGAGGCACAGGGGAGGCTGAGACCAGAGAGGAAGACAGAGGGTGGGGCCATGAGTGAGAGAAGTTAGGGCAGAAGGAAAAAGTGCATGATTTAGGCCTCAGGGTCAGGCAGCTTGGGTCAGAATCCTGACTTGATTTGAAGTTTTGGTTTGAATTATGGGCAAATTTCTTCATCAATATAGGTTTAAGTTTCCCCATCCATTAAATAGGGGTAAAAAGATACTTATATCCTAGAATCATGGTGAGAATTAGCTGAGAAAATGCTTGGAAAGCACTTAACGGAGAGCCTGGCTCACAGAAAGACTCAATTAGTGCTTATTATATTTATTATAATTAAAAACAAGTGGTAATAATGACAATTCTTCTTGCCTTGGAAATGGCTCTTTTTCCTGCTTCTCTTTGATGCTTGCAGGATGTTGGACTGGATTGGTTATTGCTGTGTTTCCCTTGAGCTCCCCTGACTACCCACCAGTCGGGTCAGACCAGAGACCTCCCCAAGTCCCCAAACCTGCAGAGTGCAAATCCCTTTGTAGCCTGACCCCTCGCCTCCAGCTGGTGGCAAAGCTCGGGACACCTCGAGAGCACTGTCTGGCTGACCCATGCTTTGTGTGGGCCATTTTCTCTTCCCTGAAGTCTGAACCCCCTGCACTGGCCTGACCGAACTTCTGGAAAAGCACTGTTGCCCCCTCCCACCCACCAAATGCACACAGTTCCTCCATAAGTGGCCCTACACAGTCCCCTCTGTAAGGGACATTCATGTCCCAGGTTCTCAAAGCAGAGTTTACACAGATCAGGGCCATCCCGACAGTGTGTGGACAACATTACCAGGTGCACTTGACCCTTGCTCCCCCGTGTTTATATAGGCAGCCAGGGCAGACTGCATGCCCAGGGCAGCCTTAAGGGAGAAAAGAAGGGCAGGGAAGCCTCGGGCGGGTATGTGGACAGGCTGAGTGTCTTTGTCCCTCCCCTGTCACCAGGTCCTCATAAACGATGGTGGAGGCAGAGGATACAGAGTGGGCAAAACAAACCCTCTGCTCCAGAGGCCCCAACTCCCCCTCTCCCCACAATTGCAAACCCTTTCAACCCCTTCCCTCTTTCCTGCAGACTTTATTTAGTCTTAGGCTGGGAGATGGAAGAGGGGCACTCTTGGCCATCCCACTGGGACTCCTTCTGGTTGTCTGACAGTCCCGGCAATCCATGCCAGCCACTGTGAGGAAGGGGTGTCTAGGTTCACACTCCCCATTCTGGGGTTTCATCCCAGTGGTGGATTCAACCTGCCTCTCCTAACTCATTCTTCAAGAGCATCTGCTGCTTTTCTCATCCACTCGCCTCACCCTCCCTGTCATTATATACATTTTTCTATTGCATTTTCTGCTACTTCCTTGGCTCCTCCTCCTAAGTGATCATCGCTGGTCTCCATCCTTGGGGCTCCCGGGGAAACTTGTCCCTGGGGAAACTGCCCAACCCCAGAAGGATCTGGACCAAGCCCAGCTCTACTTGCAAAGGGGAGAATTGGAGGTCAGCAGCTATGCATGAAGGTGGGGGAGCCCCCCAGGGCTGATGGGGCCAGAGACCTGACAGTACTCTTGGTGTCACCTCCCTGCCAGCTGCCCGGTTCCCCTTTCTCATTCCTGCCCTACAGGGACAAGTGGACTCACTTGGCTGGCTGTGAAAAGCAGCAGTAGTGGTGAGGATGATGATGAGGAGAAAGAAGGCAGCCACAGAGACCTTCATCCTCTCAGTGGGGCGGTGCAGCTTAGAGGATAGCCGAGCAGAGATGTCCTCCTGGCAGCTGGTCGTCCACTCTCCGACTGTTCAGCTCTCTGGACTCTGACCGCGTCAGAGCCGGTGGAGGAGGAGAAGCAACGGACCTCAGTGTTTGCTAAAAGGGAAGGTGGTGGAGGATGCGGCCTGGTGCAGAGTCGTATTCAGTGAGACTGAATTCACGCGAAGGAATGAGTTGGAGAAGGAGTGGTGAATGTGTACTGGGTCAGCCACCTTGCATGCCCTGTCTTACCTAATCCTCCCGATAGTGAAGTGGCAGTTCTTGCTCCACTGCGGCCACTGAGGCTTAGAGAGGTTAAATAAATTGTCCAAGGTCACATGGGTGGAAGGTGGATAGGCAGTACTGGAAACCAGATCTGTTTGATTTTATTGGTTACCTGCCACCATCTCTGTGTTGGTTAAGGGGGACGGAGGGTTGAGCTGCCTGTTTCCCCCAGGCGATCCGTCATGGGGACCGTGAGCATCAAGCAGGATTAGAGAGAGCACAGACTGAGGCAAGGGTGGGGTTTACTGGCCTCTGAGAGGGATGGTCCCTATCCCCAGTCCGAGGACACATGATTGAACTCACACTCTTTCATGTCACAGATTATGCTACTAATATTCTGAAAAAACAATGCGTCTGATCCTTGGGGCTGCATTTGTTACTGAAGTGTCTGGCTTATTTTTGAATGTTTTTATTTATCTCCTTGGACCTTGGACTTTGGACCGATTTTTAGGTATAGCTGGCTGGTCCTTCCCAGGTGCCTGCAGGAACCCTGCCACCCTGGCCGGCTATGACCAGCAGAGGGCGCTCCAATGCCGTGCGCCTGACAACCCGCCGTGAGGTCCAAAGTTCCAGTTTCTGCCCTCCCCAGTGGCCTGGGCTCTGGCCGCGCCTGCCTGGCAGCATCACCTCTCCTCAGACTGCCTCAGGAGGAGAGATGGAAGATACAGGGGATTTTGCCGTTGAAGGACTATGAACTTTAGAGCCATAGGGACATGTTTCAGGAGTTGAGAGGAGTGGGAGGCAGGGCAGAATGGGGAACGTGCAGATCCCTTACCGGGCTTGCCTTGGCGTGGCTGCTCGTAGACACGTAGACCACCAAATGCAGTTCGTTAGTCCTGGTGGGTTCAGGGCAGTCAGTGGTGGGGAAGCCTTGGCCCACAAGCCCTTGTCTGTGGAAGGTGGGAGGCCAGGGGAGGGTGGTCTAGTTCCTGCGCTGGGGCATGCTCTTGCTCCAAGCCCACCGAGGTCCTGCTTGAGCCCTGAAGGTGGGTTTGAGAGCCTATTCTTGCAGCACAGGACTCCTCTCTATTCCTGTCTCATTCCATTTATCCCTCCGTCTCTCCATCCATCCATCCATCCATCCATCCATTTCCTGAGACCTGGTATGGGCCTGGCTTTCTGCTGGGCCTTGTGGGGGATATGAAGATGAGTACATGAGTAAAACAATATAGTGCAACCTGGTGAAAGTAAGTGGAGGGGAGGGGGGTGGGATTGGATAAAATGTGTCCATGAATCATTCCTATCCCAGACAGCACAAAAAAGGGCTATGGAGTTCGACTGCTATGGAGAGGCCTTTATGAAGTTGTACCTGTAGAATCAGGTGATGACTCTCAGCTTTCACACTTACTGTGACGCTTAAATAAGAGAATGCACACAGACTGCTTAGCAGAGTGCTTGGAATGTCGAAAGCACTAAGAAAATGGCATCTGCTGCTGTTGTTTTGTTGAGGAGGTGGCCTTCACCACTGCGTTTCTTTCTCACCTCTGCTTCTCACTACCCCATCGCAGGCCTGACCCATTTTTTGCACCAGGCTCTGGCAAAACTTCTGTAGAGTAAAGCTTGATGCTGAGGGTGCCACACCCAGGCAGGGCTCACTGGTGTCCTCCGGCCACAGCCAGTGAGGAAATTCAGTAGAAATGAACGAGGGCAGTGGAGGGCATGAATGGTTTTTAATTCAAGGCAGGGCAGTGCAGGGGGTGGGCGGGGCTGCGAGCCGGGGGCAGGAGAGGGGCCTCGGCCTCTTCTCTTTAGATCTCCGAGCTGCGCCTTCTCCACTACCTCCGGGTCACTCAGTTCTCCTCCATGTCCTTGATGTAGTCCTGGACCCAGTCGTCACTGGGGTTGCTACAGATGTAATGGCCCTTTTTGGTGATGAAGCTGTGGAGCAAGAGGGAGAAGGATTACCGAGGGGGCCAGCAGCTGGAAAGAGAGAGCCAGTCCTCCCTCCCTTCCCAATTCCCGCCCCCTCCCCCCCCAGACTGTTTCTCCTTCCTTTGCTAGACGCAGCCCAGGGCCAGCCTCCTCTCTCAGACATGCTGTTCAGCCCCTACAACCCACAGGCCCATCTAGTCTCTGTGTCTCCCCCACCCCGAGGAAGCGCCTTCTTGCCTTCTTCTCCCTTCCCTTGACACCTCCCATGCGTGGGGACAGCTTCCCTTTGCTCCTGCAGGCTCCAGCAGGAATGCCCCCAGATTGCCCCTCGGCTGCCTCTCCCTGCCTAGGCACACCTGGGAGGTGCCCTGGGGGTCCCCACTCCACATCCTCCCTGCCTGCCCCCCACCAGGCCCTGCTGGCTCCCTCTCCCCCGTGTGGTGTGTGGGTGTCACCTACACAATTCCAGGCTTGGAGCACTGGCTGCTGGTCTCATAATAATCCGTAATGCGGTAACGCGGGAGCTCGTGGGTAATGTAGGTGAAGCAGCACTCGGCGGGGTGGTAAGGTCCTCCTGAGGGGGCAGCATGGGGAGACGCTGAGATACTGATGGCTGCTTCTGCAGCCCAAGGTGGGGGTAAGAAGGAAGGAGGAGGAGACGGCCCCACAGAGCTCAGACAGCGGCTCTGGAGAAGCTCCGTCCTCTCTTCCCACTTCGTAGTAGTCCTCAGCCTCCTCTTTCCCTCCTTCATCAACCACCACCCGCCCACATTTTCTTCAGCCCCTCCTGGAGAAACTGGCTGATGACTTTCAACTGAGCTGAAGGATAGCAAACCCAGGTCTTCTCGGTGGGCACACACCACCTCTGGGGGCTGACTTGTAGAGAGGGCTGGTAACTTGACCAACATCACACAACCTGTGTGCCTTATTCGGGAAGGATGCTCCAAATGGGAGAAATCCCGACAGGGATTAGGAGACATGCCATTTGGGAATGCAGAGCCAGCCCCTCCGACCCCATCCTGCCCGTGTCCCCACTGAACACTCGGCCCGCAGAGAGGGAAGGATGCCCACACCAAGCCCCAAGCACGATGGCCGCAGGGTCGGGACGCTGAAATCCTAACCCAGTCTTGCCTTTGCTTTCTTCCTGCTGTGACCATTGTGCTTTTCCTCTCAGTTTCCTCCTCCATAAATGAGGCCTTTGGACTTTGATTTTTATACTGAGCTCCCTGGGTCTTGGGGGGCTTCAGGGACTGTCTTGGAGGTGCTGCTGCATTTGGAAATGGTGTCTTGGGGATTGCACCCCATTCAACTCTTTTTTCAGTTTTACCTATTGGGCCTCTGTGGGAAATTTTGCTTGAAGAAAAGGTTTCATGGTCTAAAACATTTTGAAAATCACTGGGTTAGGTGATATTTCAGCTTTTTTCTGATTGCGAAATTTCATGGCTCTCACAGGAGGAGCAATCACAGTCACAGAGGTAGCAGGAAAGGCATTGCGGGCAGAGGGCCCTGAGCAAACGAGCACATGCTGTGGCCACGGAGTAGAGAAATCAAGTGTGTGCATAGTGTGTGACCAGGCTGGGCAGAGACAAGGGGGCGCGTGGCGATGGCCTCGGCGGTCACTGGGGGTGACCAGGCGCTTGTGTGCAGAGGGAACAGCCTGGTCCTGTTGTCCAGCACCATTCCAGGCAGCATCCTCACTGTCTAAGGATTGGAATAAGGGATCCATCCCCTGAGACCCACTCGGGACTCTGACTCTCCCACCTTATTCCTTGGAACTGACAAATGACTTCAGAGAGGCAAATCGAATGGCCCAGATACCTATTAACTTTAGACTAACTTTATTTCAACAACTTTCTATGTTTCCCTCCAGATTCTGAAGAGGAAATGAGGTAGATGGAAGGGCAAGAAGTAGTTTTGGCTCTCTGTAAAGGCAGGTACTCGTCAGAAATAAGCTGAGGAAAGGTGGCCTGGGAGGGACCCTGGGAGGTGGCCTAGTGTTTCCCCCCAGCCCAGACCCAAGCCGTGCTGCACTCACGGGGCACGGGTGATGTGGGGAGCAGCTGGGCCCAAATCTCAGGAGGCTGAGAGACAAAATGGCCTTGAGGGGCTCTGAACACTGCTCCTCAAACTCCCTGGGATGATCCCCCACAGTGGGGTGGGCCACTCTTTTGCCTCACAGCGATGGGAGACGAACTGAGGGGAGTGGAGAGGCAGGCTGGCCTCACTCCATGACCTGGAGGGGAAGGGGCTCCAGTCTGGGGGAGGATGGGGATGAAACCAGCAGGAGAAGATCCCCGAGCTGCTGCTCGAGCCCTCCTCCTCGTCTCCCCGGCCACCTTGCTCCTGCTCTCTCCCCACAGGGCCTGGGTTGGAGGGAATACAGGTGCTGCACTCACGTGAGGAGGATTTAGCTCTGGCCCCTGGGGCGGTGGTACAGAGGAGGAGGAGGAGGAAGGAGAAGGCAGCCACGGAGACCTTCATCCTGTGGAGAGCCACTGCAGGAGGAGATCTGGCCGGTAGGGTCTTCTGAGGCTCCTGGGGTGAGGAAGGGTTGAGAAATGATCATTGAGGCCAAATGGTTTTCGAAATAAGGGAACTAAGATTTCGCAGGGAAGTAGAAAAGCAGCGATGCCTCAGCGATTTCGTATCCTGCACGTTGGTTGAGGGTGTCGTGAAGGAAGCACGGAGACCCGGGGTTTAAGGGAGGACACTGCCTCCCATCCCCTGGGGGAGTAAGTTTAACTCCTTTGACGTAAGCCGTTCCTTAGGCACACGGCTGGGGGCACTGCCTCCGACTTAGCAAAACATCTCATGGCCGATGTGTCCTGTGCCCAATTCCAGATCCAGGTCTCAGAACAAGGCCAAGTGGGGCCTGGAGGTTTAGGATCTGTTCATCTGGAGATCGGAGGGCCTTTGAGGTAGTGGGATGAGGTCTGCAGTCCCCCAAGTCAGGTCTTATAGATCAGGGCTGGGAAATCCTCACTTAAACTCATTAGCAGAACCTGCCGCTCCCAGCCTCATCCCCACCCCTTGCCATACCCCGAAGAAGTGCTCTGATTCTCAGTAGAGAATTCATTTATATAGTGGTTGCTGTACACACTGGCCACTGGCCCAAATGCTTTATGAATCTTAGCCCGTTTAATCTTTATGGCAGCAGTTGAGGAAACTGAGGCTCAGAAGCAAAGCCCATGCTTCCACAATTGATAAGTGGAAGTGGATTCAAACTCAGGCAGTGTTCTTAACCCACAGTGTTAAGTCTGTGTTCCTAACCAGTATGCTGTGAAGACAGAGACCCGTTGAGCTGTCTAAGAATGTCCTGGCTTGCTTCGGCTCTCTGTAAAGCCTTTAGTCTTACTTAGCTCTTTCTGAGCTCAGGAAGTGGATCCCTTTGAGAACCCGCTCCTGGTTTCTGACTTTGCCTACAGAGAAGCTTGGTGGGAACCTCAGAAAATGCCTGGCTCAGGGATGGCTAGTAGGTATTGTCGATTAGTGGTGGACTGGAGCTCTGTGTTGAAAACTATTCTGAGGCCGCGTCCAGGCACGTCAGGAAGAAGCGCTGCGGCTCATGTGCGGTTTCTGTGACGGTGCAGCTTGTGTGCTGTGTATGCATCCTTGGATTCATCTAAACCAGCCATTTACCGAGTGGAAGCTGCGCTCAGGAAGGCCAGCAGTTTGCTCATGATCACACAGTAATCGGGATGCAGGACAGACCCCACCTCTGCAGACCCTCAGTCTAGCTGCCTTCACCAGGCTGTTCTTGGGGGCACTTCCTGCATTCTGCTTGCCACTGTGGTTAGAGGGCTATTCAATCTCCTCGCCTGGAGTCATCGCGGCAGGGAACGTCTATTATTTCCCTTCACTCATTCACACAGAGCCTAGTGTGTAGCTTGGCTTAAAAGAAGGATGAATAAATAAATCAAGCCAGGTCTAAGTATGTATATCTTACAGGAAATGTCTGAATTCTCATGATTAGGTGAGGAGACAAGTCATTAATGAGAAATTTTCTGTATTCATTGTCATCAATAACAACACGATTTAAACTTTTCAAATGAAATGATAACAATTGTCATTAGGAACAATCTGAGAAAACAAGTTGTTTCTGGGAAGAATATGAGTTGGAAAGAAATAATGTTCACTTCTTTGTTTGGGGAGCCTTACAGAAAATTCCTTTATTTTTCCAGCAATTATTGAGTTCCTACCTATTAATACATTAGTCTGTATATGCTGGCTGCTATAATGAACAACCCAGAGCATTGGTTAAATGAAGGTTTGTTTCTTGCTCATGTCCTGATTCGGTGTGGTCAGCTGTGGGATGATGGGGTGTGTTGGGCAGGGCTGTTCTGTGCGTGACTTCAGGAACCAGGGCTGCTTCTATCTTGTGATGCCACCATCTTCAGCACAGGCCTGCATGGCTGATACCGAAGGAGAGAAACAGAGGAGAATCTTCATGAATCAGTTCTGGAAATCAATAAATTACTTTCACTCACATTCCATGGGCAACATCAAGTCACCTAGCTCTAACCTCATAAAAAAGGGATGGAAAATATACATCATCTGTGTGCCCAGGAGGAAAAAGGAATAGGTATAGTGATCACATCACTTTTTTGCCACAATATCAAATGCCAGGTACTGGGCCAGGCTTGGAGGGAATAAAGGTGACCCTGACCTCAGAGGACTGAGAGGTTAAAGAGAAACTGAAAAAAGTAAAGAAAATTGCAATACAGTGGCATGAATGGAATTTGGTAGCAACATAATTAGAGAATTTAAATGTTCTCCTGTTCCCTGGTGAGTATGCAATGTCTATTTAAAAAATACATTTTTTTTTATTTCAGCATATTATGGGGTACAGATGTTTAGGTTACGTGTGTTGCCCTTGGTCCCCCCCCCCAAGTCCGTGTTTCAAATATGTCCATCCTTCGGGTAGTGCGCATTGCACTCCTTGTGTATACAAATACCCGTCCCCTCCTCCCTCCTCCCCTCTCCTCCCGCCGCCCTCCCCCTTCCCCAGCATCCAATAGATGTTGTTCTGATATGTGCATTTATGTGTTGATTAGTTAATACCAATTTGATGGTGAGTACAAATGGATCCCGTTCTTCTGCTCTTGTGGTGCCTCACTTTGGATAATGGGCTTAAGTTTAATCCAGGAAAGTGTAAGAGGTGCTAGATCACTATCATTTCTTATGATTGAGTAATATTCCATTGTAAACATATACCACATTTTGATAATCCACTCATGGATTGACGGGCACTTGGGTTGTTTCCACATTCTTGCAATAGTGAATTGTGCTGCCATAAACATTCGGGTGCAGATGTCCTTATCGTAGAATGTTTTGTGCTCTTTTGGGTAGATGCCTAATAGTGCTATTTAAAATGTCTTTCAAAGCTACACATATACATTGGTTTAAAAAAATGGAATAATACGGAAAGGATGTGTAGGACATAAACTTTCTGAGTTCATGCTTGTCTGAGGTCTTTATTCAGCCCTCACACTTGATTGATGTTTTGCCGAATATAGAATTCTACATTGAGAATATGTTTCTTTTGGAACTTTCATCTGTGGCGATCTGGTGTTTCCTCTCTCTAAAAGATTTAGGATTTATTCTTTAATCTTGTTTTCTTACTTTTTGGCACAAAAAGATGTTCCAAGCTAATCTTGTACTTTCCCTGGCCCAGCCCCTGGAATTAGCCATTTCTCCAATGAGTCCTGATTCCTTTTCGTGAAAAATGGTCTTGAGAAACCATGATCTGAATGCTTGGTGTGCTCATGGCTGTGGGGATGGCATTGCTTTTATGTCTGAGCTGTCAGTGGACAGACTAGGAAATATATGTAAGCATATGTGTATAAGTGTGTATTTAAATTTATATTGATTTCTATTTATCTGTTTCATACATCACTAGCAATTTCTATATCATCTTTCTATCTATACGAAAACCCAAAAGTTTATACCACAACTTCCAGTTCCAAGTCAACACCACAGAGTTATTTCAGTGTTCCCTCTTTCTGTAGGTTTCCCTCCCTACTCTAGCAGTGAGCCTGGCTCCCATTAACCTCAATGTATCTACCTGAATTTTCTCAGTCCTCTGGATGTAACAGATCTGGCCACATTGGCTATAATCTTGACTCCAGCCCTGCTGGCCTCAACCATGTGGCTCATCCCCTCGGCCCTAGCCTTGGTTGGGCCCTATTGATATATGCTTTTTAAATATTATCTCTGGTTCTAAAAGTGAAATAGTAAAAATATGGATGTTTCCCTTTGCTATTTTATGCTTTGGTGATTTTGGTGAAGCCCTTTTTAAATCGTTTTAATGACTTTTAAGCAATTTTTTTCTAGCTATGTTGTACAACTTCTGATATTTTTACTTTTAACAATTCAAAGTTGGTTGTTA